TTCTCTTGTCTACCTCCATAGAAAGACGGACCTACGTTTCTCCCCGAATCTCAACAAAAATGGCTGGGTACGTTTGATTCTTTATTAGTCGTAAGTCACTTCACTGCGAGTTATTCATTTGTCATTCTTCAAAAGAAAAATGTACAGAAGCAAAAGAAATTACGATCAAACAAAATAGCGCACGGACAACCTCCTTAAGAAGGTAAACAATTAATAAAATTATACAATTATTTCATCAACGTTGTAGTATTGTGAAAATCGACTTAGAAATTGACAGGCTAAATATTCATTTTCTGTTATTCACTTATTCCTACGTGGAAAATATCTGACTGCGTTTTACTGTGTTAACATGTGAAACGCGAGTTATTTTGACGGTAACGCGAATGCTTTATCGTTTTCCTCTTATCCTGTTTGCCACCCTGCTATCTCCTCCACTCCCCCACGGACCTCAATAAATGTGTCAGAATACTGTCGAGTCGCGCTCTCGGGCCTATCGTTTGATAACGCGAAGGTGCAGTGATTGTCTAAAATCGTGTAGCTGCACGGCCAAACGGATATAGTCTTTGCTTAATATCTTGCTTTTAAACAGAATTGCTGATTTGATCGCTAGATGGGAACACAAGAGAAATTCGTTTGTGAATATCAGTCGCCAACATCTGTGCGAAACAAGCATCCGAGCTTCACGTCATAGCGTTTTTCCATGCTTTTTCTACATTTTTTTTTCGCGGATACATACTTTGAGCACTTTTGTGATTTTGACGATCTGAAATCTTTTCTTTATACATTCTTTATATTTACATCTCGTTTACTATTTACCGTTGTCATTACGATTGTCTGTTTAAATATATGTTACTGAAATATATTCCATTTATTAAATTGAAATTTATATCATGGACAAGATCTTCCAATTAAATTTCTGCTCACGAACTTTATTGGAAATGAGAAAAAAAAACGGAGTATAATTTTCACTCGTCGCTCGTAAAAAATGTATTCCATTCATACGAAGACACTCGAACCGTTGATTTAGGAGTTCGTGACATTCGTGATATATGCATTTAAAAATGATAAACGATACCATATTTTTTTTCTTGCTATAACATTTTATGTCCTCTCTCTTTTCCAACGGACTCGGCACACGTAGCCAATTTCTTCAAGCTAATACATCTACTAAAGAAGATCGAAAAAGAGCACATATGACTGAAGGCTCATTTTAAGATAACTAAATATTCTTGCTGCATTTACATAAAAAAAAAAACTCGTGGCAGTGCTACAATTCAATATGGAACTTGTACCGCCACGATTTTGAATAAACAAAAAATTGATCGAAATCCTGGAAATTCATAACGCTTATTAAAAACTCTTTCAAGGCTGAAAGTATACAACCATATTATTTTGGTTGGTTTCAAACGCTTCGACGAAAGAAACAGTCTATTATATAGGTAGATTACCATATGCAATACGTACTACATTGAATAAACTATATCAAATTTTAGGACTCATAAATCGTCAGTCTCTCACAGTTGAAAAGCTTTCTGCTCCTTCAGATCTATACGTATTTTTATTTGCACCCTTCCCGTTGTCGAGTTATGGTCCAAAACCAAATTTTCGAATTCTGCGCTCTTAGTTGTTGAATTGGCAAGTTTATTCTAGTATTCAAAACCGTATTGTATACCCGTGGGAAGATTCATTACAATGGCATCAATTATTCACCAGTGACAATCCAAGCTTCGAACTGTCCTCGATATCACGTCTCGGCAATTCGCCAGATACGCTGAAACTGTAATCGAACCCAGCGGCACGCTAAGTCTCAATTATTTAACATTGTCGAAATATTTTGGCATCGTTACGGAAGGTATAGCGCCAACCCATAAATAATTCAGATGCATATCCTGCTGCTAAGTAATCACAATGTTGCATTAACCGCAAGTAAACTAATTATAGATGCACCGATGCAATAAAGTATCTCTGCAATTTTTTATCGATGCATAATGCACCTATCTTCAATGCACTTCGAACTATGTGTTCATATTATAAACACTTACGTAATGAATGTTCCAATCGTAAAGCTAATGGAAAATTTCACTTAAAACGTTTAGCGATGGCATTTTCAATTTTCATTTTGATAGTTTGCACAAAATTTGTAATATTATTGTTGGAGGATGTATGTTTCGAGCTTTCGAAATTCGAATACCGCAGGCGAGAGACGAATGGCGTCGATCGATGCCAGACAGTGACGCAAGGTTGGGTGAAGGACGCAGTCTGCTTATAACACGTAGATTCTACTAGCTTGAATTTTGGGTCGAATGAAATATAGTGCTCTAACATTCTTTTTCTCTGAATTATATAATCATGAACTAATTTACTTGATTCGATCGATCAGCGGATTCACGTATAATTAAATTTGGTCGAAATAAATCTGGTTATGATTGACATCTGTTTCTGTATTTTTTTAGTCAATTTTCATTGAACCAGATTCTTATCACGTCGTACATATACTATATTATTGCCTTATATTTTTAAGTATCGTAACATACACGTATTATTTACATTACGATTATTACACGTAATATTAATTGGAACTGTATATTCTATAGCATATGGCATAAACATGAATTAAATTATATACTTTAAATATAAATTATATAGTTTACCTTTGAATTATATAATCCTATAATAATTTGACACAAGCATTCGAAATTTTACGTTTCTTTACATTTATTGTAAAAAAATTAATAATCCACCTCACTGACGCCTTCCGCTAATCAAGATTCTCGAAGAACCGCGAACGGTTTATGGCAGAATTGAAAAAAACTTGAATGACATCGATTTTCTAGGACTCGCCAAAAACGTGGGTAAGAAAAATCTCGTGTTATCTTCTGAGAAAATTTTCAGTCATGGATCGTCGAGGTATGTGTACAGGTTGTTGAACTCGCGTGAGCACGTTCCTCGTAAAACTAAAATATATTTAGAAAATAAGGCGGATACATTGTTACGAGTCAAACATCTATTCCATTCATCATTGAACACAGTGTCCGTATGCCATCCATCGTCCACCACCGGAATACACGAAACGTAATGAAATTAATTTTATTTGGAAACCTATTAAAAATCGTACATCAATCCTTCCCCAACGTCGAAATTTAACCCAGATATTATGCTTCTCGTGAATATAAAACGTTTACAATTATAAGTTATTCAAAGGTAGCGTAACCCTTATCAACTTTAATATACCTAAAAGCGTCCCGACGTTCGATATACATACTTAAGGAACAATATCATTATTTTCAAAGAAAGTAAAATTTATTATTACACACGCATTGACAATTTCCAATACGAAATTCCGTATTTCCGTCAATATTACGTCATCGATAGAAATTACGTGATCCAACTTCGTCATATGTTATATTATTGTATAATATCATTCTAAAGTTTTTATTGAAATTTCTTCTGAAGCATAAATCCTATATTGTGACACAGCTGCCGCAATTTAATGTTCCACGCAAGGCGTAGAGAAATTCGCGGGCGGGGGCGACAAAGTACACTTCAACAAATTTTGATCCTGCAAGTTTCACAATACAGATATATAGATACGGGGTATTCTAGATACTTCCTCTTGAAAAATAACTTCTTACCTCTCCGGACGCCCTGTATGTATAGGACAATTTAAATATATTCGCCTTTGCGACCTACGCCACAAGCTTATTTTCGTCGTGACGCCTAGTTATGCCAGTAAAGCCAGTGCTTGAGTCACGCATCATCTATATATATATTGATATATTGTTAGAATCCCGTGGGTGTATGTACATATAAAAAAGAAGACTAATAATTATAATCTTTTTATTCAGAAAGTAATCAACACTTCATTTTCTACTGACTATACTTTCTCACCGTATCTCTCTTCAGTAACGCCACGGCACTCATACAATATTCACGCAAATTCTACTATGTTTACATTTGCACTTTGCAAAATCGCCTATGTATCAGTATAAGTAACCACGGTTTATCGTCCGTGGCTTTCATTTCACACTCGCTTAACTCAGGCGGTTCTTATTCGTGACGTTCAAAATAATAATTCTAAGTAACATAATCTATATGTACGAACCATCAATTTCAATAAAAACGTACCGCAGCTTCGAGTCGGTCGAAAAAATGAATCAACAAGGCGGTCAATAATCATCGATATTCCCTCGACGTATACAGTCCATATACATTTCATATACAAATTAAATGCCCACTTGTATCTAAGATTTTAAACAAATATTGTATATAATCTATATAACTTTTGTTATTCTAAAATATAAATTTCTGACTTTTCCAATACATATGCTTTCAGAATGCGTGGTCGATCCGATCTGTAAAGATCGCTATGGGTTCCCAATAAGAAACGACGAATTAATTTAACGCCATGAATCTTTTTTTTTTTTGCGAGAATACGAGACGATCGGTAGATATAAATAAAGTGTCTGATATTTTTTTCGTTTTATGTGAAGCTTTAGAGAAAAAAGTTGTTAACGCGACACAAGTCCAAGTATCTTTGATGTACTGTTAGCGATGATAGCGAATTGATGTAGAGAGAGCCCAGACTATTTTGGTGCGCTTGTGCGTCTCTTTCATCTGGATACTCTTTCGATTACATTTGCCGATTGTACAGCGGTGTGGTATGTGAAATTAGAATAGTTAAAGAAAAAAGAAGATTAGGAGAAGCCCACGACAGCAAGTCTTGTTGTTTTGAGTGGCTCTCATCAGATGAAATTCGAAACCGCACGTGACTGTCGATGATCGTGTCGCAAATATTTATGCGTGCTCAACCCGTATACAGTTGGCGCGTTGTTTCGTCGACGAATGCATTTATTTCACAGAAGAGATTTGATTACGTTAACGTTATGAATAGCGTATACTTGCTGCAGCGACTTACCGATGTCATTGATATCATTGGAGCTGCCAATTGTTATTGCGATTGAGCATATATCTTATTAAACGTATTTATTTTCACATTGCAGCAATCCGCGCGCCTCGCGCAACATGGCCGAGAAGCAACGTCGGGATAACCTGAACACCAATATCTCGACGATGGCTGCACTGGTACCAACCGTCGCCGGAAGTTCGCGAAAGATGGACAAGATTTCTATACTCCGACTGGCGGCTGCCTTCCTGAGGACACAGTATAGTGAGTATCGCATTCGTGGTTCACTTGGTCCTTCCACGTCGCGTACTCATTGCTCAGATATAATTTTGTTTCGTTAAGATCAAATATACCTTTCTCTAAGTTATCTTCTTTGTCACCATATTGACTGGGGATGAGTAAAATTTGTGAAGCAATGAAAAGTTTGTGCGATTAAAATTGTGCAACGTATATCTAGACTCAATAAATTTCGTACTTGGTCGAGACTACAAACATCGTATGTGCAAATATTCTACATGTTATTCGAGCGTGTTATTGATAAGGAATCGAAAAGGAAGATCTTCTTATTGAATTAATTTCGACACGCTCGAGCGCTGGAAATCTTTTGTTAATCGCAAGAAGGTACTCCACCGAATAGATGCTAAGAGTAAATTGGGATTTTAATTGGAATGGCTGATTACGATTATTCCAATGGGCTGGGAAGGACTAGGACGTTTATGGCTACTAAAGCTTTCTTCTCCTTGTCGTTTAGTTTTTCTTGCGAAACGCTGTAAACTCTTTCAATATTGGAAGCCTCACGATATAAAAGCATTTCGTTATTCATTGTGACTTTATAATAGAACGAAAATTCAAGCACGTTCGTATCTGGCATTGTACTCTTTAGTGTTCTTTATCGTCGATATGACTTTATAGAGTGCAAATACAGTTGGTATACTTTTGTCAATCAAATCGTGCGATTTACGCGAATAATTAAATATATTTTTAAATAATAACATTACATTTCAAAGAGCTCTCCTCTCATTATCATTATTATTTAATTAATACATATCAAATCTCATATAAATTTATTTTCCGTATAAGCAAATCAAAGCGTCGGCATGTTCGTTTAATGGCAAAAGAGTTAATGTTCTATATAATACCACTGGTCATTTTCACAAACAGTTCGAGATTAACGTGAATAATTTATATCCAAAAGAAGCTCTATTTGAGAGAATTTGAAGTCTGATTGAAATTTAGTAATTGCGAGTCAACAGGCTCGCCTGCTGTCTCAATACACCCCAGTGAATTGGGCTCTTCCAGTTGGCTCGTGAATTAGTCAATGAAACCATAAAACATTGGAAGCCATATATAAGCCAGATGATATGGTATTTTGTGTTTTACCACAATGAGGTAAACACACGTATACACGTGCATTTATTCACTATCCCGGTGCTCTCCAGACGCTCGTTAATTACATCCCCATGACTTGGGTGGTCCTTAAAGCGGTCAACGATCGTACAAAAGTTTTAGCGTTTTCGTTCACTACACGCGAACAACCATCTAAAACCGAAAGAAATCGTTTGACGTGCTGTATACGAACACAGTCCAATTCTGTACTTGAACTTTCATGACATCCAGCTCGGTAATATGAAGCCACATGTAAACTTTATTTGCGTTCGTCGATTTCAATAGAATTTATTGACAAGGTGTCGGGTATCGATATTCAGCGATCGCTGAGGAAACGACGACAAACAGGTATAAAAATAAAAGTTAAAGGAGAACATACATATACATACATATATACATATATATGTATAGTTCGTATGCTCATCAGTGGATGATCGTTATTGATGACGTAAAGTCGATCCACAAGTTCGATGTGCTGTTTTTGACAGATCGAAAATAACGAAGTCTCTAATAAGCCACACGTGGCTCTGCGTAGAATTTTACTTAGGCAGAATTCCACGCGCATGGCTTTGCGCCTAATTATGTTATATTTTTCCATTTACGTATGTATTTCCGTAACTTTATTGAGACTCGCCCACATGTGATTTATTAAGGATTACATTGTTTGCGGACTTTCAAAGAAACACACATTGAACTCGTGAACCGGCTATAAGAGAACGGACCCCTCTGACTGTATTACCCCTCTGGATTTTTCAATGTACTTAATGTTGCTTTCAATGGTATTTAATTGGGTAAGTTGTTTACGGTTTGAGGATAGATCACCGAGGGTGTTTAGCTGGAGGCAAGGAGCGAGACGCATATGGAGACAACGAGGACTAGAAGGAGGATAGGGATACCTCAGAAGATAAGGTTAGGACGGTAATCCTTGCTAATAACGTTCTTTTGTTACAGCTCTTGGTTCTGGCTCGGCTGGATTTCTACCGCGTCAATTCAATGACTTCGACCTCGAGCAGTACTTCGTCGATGTAAGTGGTAACCGACGTTACGTCGAGTTTCCTCTCGATGAAGAGAAAAACAATCCTTGCTGCTTACTTGGTGTTTACCTTGCAGAACGTGGTCGGTAGTGGTGGATTCGTGATAATAACTACGACGGTGGGGAAGATTGTCTACGTCAGTCGGCACATGGAGCAGCACCTTGGCCACGCTCAGGTAGTTAAATCCAGTGAAATTATATTGATAAGTAATGAATTAAATGACAGAGGATTATCGTTATCAATTTATCATACAATATCCTGGAATTATAAGTATGAATATATGTATATTATACTTAAGTCAATATTGGGCAAGAAGGTGATCAGTTTACGAGCGGAAGGGATGACATCGGCATAAGGCTCTTGGAAATGGGCATAGAAGAAAATATTTGGGGATTGATGATAATACCAACGTGGCTGACGAGATAGTATTAACTGTATAAAAAAGGAGTATGAATACGAGGAAAAAGTTCATGTCTGTTCATCGTACCGAGAAAAGCTATTCCTGTCTGGTTGTAGCATACTGTACGTAGCTACGTTAAATATTTTTTAGTAACCATACTGGGTCACAGTTATATGCATATGGGGTTTAATTATATAAAGGGCACAGCTTTTCTATAGTTAACTATATGTTCAAGTTATTCCAAGCAGAAATCCGTGTACTGTACTCAGATATTTTTTTCAGTATATCCGTTCACCAAGTCAGAACAAGATGAGCTGAAAAGTATTACGGAGGATCAAAACTCAGTGGTGGTTAAGATAAAGTAGGGAAGTGTGAGCGGTAAGAGAGTGAATGGTTCTCGAGAAGTTTCAGGGAGCAACGTCAGCCAGCGGCAAATCTCGACAAACAAGGGTTGCTTGTGAGCTTATCGATCAAATGCACGCGTGCAACTGAATGCGTTCCCATGGCAACCATGATATAGTCTACTTCCTCTGTCGTATTCCTCACTAAGCGAAGACACGGTATTTGCTGTTGCGTGGTTCGAACATGGGATAAAAACAAACTCATCGCCAACGGTCCACCTCCCTTCCTTCGTATCCTGCTTCTTGGGTAACTTCTGATCAGCGTCAAGAATCGATCTGATTTTCTCACACAACCCTTTGGGTCGGATTCCTGACTTTGGGTATTCGATTCGTCCTCGGCGTTACCATGTATTCCTAAAAATAATGTATAAGGAGGAATATCTTCTCTATGATAATTCTTCGAGTTGCTAAAGGCTCTCTCGAGATTCTTGCGAGATCAGCTCTGGGATTCCGTTTTACACCTAGCAGCTTCGGTAGGACGATATATTAAAAAAAGAGGACAGGCACGCGAGCATCGTCCATATGCCTGGGGATACGTATTGTCTTGAAAAAGTGTGCTGGGTATCCTAGAGTTGGTAGGCATAGTTACATGCATAGAGAACACGGAGGAATTGTCTCTCCGTAGAGAGTTAACAGTAGGTCCTTTTCACTCCTTATGCCCCAACACTCACTCCTTCTCTGTTATATCTATTTCCTCCCTCGTAAGATTTCACGGGCTGGTTTCGCATAACGAGGTTTTCAGATTATTTTAAGATCCGGCGTAGATACTCGGCTCGTTCGTACGCGCGTAATCGCCTTGCTTACAAACAGGAAAGACGACATTGATAGATATTTGGCTTGACTCGTTGACTGTAAGTAGGATTGCAGGCACTGTTCTATACGTTAACCATTCAGTTTTTTTTTATGTAAGCTTTTATTCAATTCTGAACACAGTTACGTAGACACACTGTTAGGGGTAATATATACTCTTGGGCTTTTGTATACCATATAAGGTTAAATTATCCAGAATGTGTCTGATAAGTATACGTATTGCCAAGAATTTTCGTAGAATGAATACTTTGCACGAGGAACTTAGGACGATACGTTTGAAGCATCAAGCTTGCCTAAATCATTCGTTTCATTGTAACGAAGAGACGTGGAATCTGGTATATTGAATATCCTGCAGAATTTATATCCGCTTAACAGTTATGCCGTTGAAGATTCCAAATAGCTTCTTCATATAGACATGCTAAGGAAGTTACATTGAGTACCTTAAGGATATAGTTAAGTTTTATAAAAGAGTCATGAAAAAGAGTACATGCCTACGTTAAAGTTTCGATATACCATTGAAACGTTACATTGTACAATTATACTCAGAGAAAGAATTTCTAAATTTGTATGTAAGAAGTGAAGCCGTTTATCCGAGAGGTGGAAAATGAGGACTTGTAAGTTGTTCGTGTTACCCCGAATGCTCTACGTTCCCATTTTTATCTTGGCCATGAGATCAATTCATTACATGGTAATCTTTTTTTTTCAGAATGAGGTGCAGGGACAGTCTCTCTACAACTTCGTCTGCCCGGACGATCACGAGGATCTCACCAGGAACCTTACCCCCGATGACGAACAATCATCCACGTCTGAGATACGGAGCACAACCGCATCAGGAACTTCGCGTTTGAGTATCGAGGAGAACTCAAACTCTTCCGAAGACCACAGCTCGCCGAGACACGAAAGACGGTTTCGAGAGCAAAAACGTAGCTTTAACCTGAGAATGTCCCAACGTGCCGTCTCGAGACGAGAACATACCCAGTACGAATATATTCATATGTCAGGTGTACTGAGACTGGCCGAAGCATGTAGGAAACAGGATGCGAACTCCGGTAGCAGAACGAGACTTCGAGGTGAACTTTTTTATTCTTTAGAATGTTAACGGGTCCCACGTTCATGGAAAACAGCAGGTCGATTCGTTGATCGGCTGCCCTGCTTATTTGTTTAAACTGTTTTCAATCCCTTCTTCCCTGTCTTTTTCATGGCAGCGAAACATGATTTTTCATATTCGTACTTTCCATAAGCATTGCTCCTTGTTATTATCTTTCATTTTTGTTTTCTGTTTAATATATTCAGAAGTCAACTCTACCAGCAATGATATCATATTCGTGGGCATCGCACGACTACTGAAGAAACGTACCATTACGGAATTGTCTCTTCTGGAGGCCACCAAGGATGAATACGTCACTCGGCACCTTGTAGATGGTAGAATTATTTTCTGCGACCATAGGATATCCGTTGTCGCTGGATATATGACTGAGGAAGTGTCCGGTCTAAATGCCTTTAAGTTTATGCATAAAGATGACGTTAGATGGACGATGATCGGACTACGACAAAGTAATTAAAAATTTTATCATTATATTGTGTTGTTTCCATTGCACGGTGTACTATTTTTCTCTTGTATTGCAGTGTACGACCGTGGTGAAGGATTCGGCATGTCTTGCTACAGGCTCCTTTCAAAGACGGGAGAATTTATCTACCTGCGGACGCACGGTTACCTCGAATTTGATAAGAACACACAAACCGTGGAATCATTCGTCTGTATCAATACTTTAGTACCGTAAGTATCTGACTCATGGGTCATCCATAGTGATTTACAATTCGATTCGATATGATTAATATGTTTAGTAACATGAAATTATTTTTTATACAGTGAAGAAGAGGGCCTCGAACTTGTAAATGATATGAAAACCAGATTTTCTGCTTCTGTTTCAAACATCGATAACTCTCTGGTTGGCTTCAAAGATGTTACACCAAGTTTCGTAAGTCTCGTAGTCTAAGTACTCGTTCTCGATAATTATATTGCCTTGCTGGCATGGCAAATGGACGGAACAGACCGGATCGGATACGATCGGCAATGCGAGTCCGGCATAGCAATACCATAAAATCTTTAAGAGTGCATGACATTTACATACATTTAAAAAGAAAGTAGAGCGATCTACCTAAAGACATTCGTGAATTAGAGATTCGCTAGTATTACTTATATAATAAAGCATGCTATGAAATTCATGGTACAACAGGAAGTAACTTCCGTATTTCAGAACGGTCAATCGCTTCCCGACTCTAGGAGTACATTGGAAGATCCAGTGGAACTTGAGGATGCCATTACCAACCTGATCAGCGAACTGCCATCTCCAATAATATCGGAGAATCGCGAAATACCGTCACCCTTACCGCACTCACAGTACGTAAAGGCTGCAATTCTCTCGCAACGTTTACCACCAAGTTCCGTACAAGCCAACAAAATTGGTATCAAGGAGATCCATCACACTTCTGTTTGTGTCGGCAAGGAAGTAAATCGTACCGCGAATGATGAGCAAGTGATTGATTGCAAGTCACCAAAAGAAACATCGCATGTGGTGAATCACCTTTCGGCATGTGAAAAGAAACTGCCCATACTGAATTCGCCATCATCAGAGAATAATAGACTTCATCAGAACGTGCCTGTGGCCGAAGAGAGTATTCCTGAACTGGATAATCATAGGGAGGAAAGCAGAATAGTCGAACAGCCCATGTCTGGTCGACGCAACGCCCCTGAAAAGAAAATGTCTGGTGTCTCAAAATATCCACTTGCAGAAAAGAAAATTCTCAGCGGTGATAGATCCCCAGCAGAAAGGGCTTCTCCAAATATTAATCTCGAAGCAGGAACAACAAGCGTTCGCTGTATGAGTCCTAGTCGAAGAAAGGACTTGAACAAGGTTGAATTCACTGTGAACTCAGAAGTTTCTATGGAGAGACCCTCAGTCGTCTTTGAAGCTAGACCCAACAATGAGCATACTATTCTCCTTGCGAATATTCTCAATCCGAGCAATTCTAATCAAGAAAAGGAAGAGGTTATGTTTCAAGCTAAGCATGTTAAGAAAGAAATATGCAGTGATATGGGTCAAGGAAGTTCCACTGTGAAAAGGACATGCAAAAGCGAGGGCGAGGAGCCGGACCTGGTTTCTAGTAAAAGAAAACGTAAGAAGTCGTATCTGATTGAAGAGGAGACGTCCTTTGGTGCAGAGGCATCGATACCAGATCCTCGAAGTACTTACTACGACGGTAACAGCGCCATTGCGTCACCCATCGTGTGTTTCCCCGACGAGGACCTACAGACTAGCCTCGCTCTAGATGTTCCTCCGATGGAGGAGCTACATGTACCGATCCAATCACCGAGCTCGAGTTTGCAGGACATCGCTATGGATTATCAGCAGCTTGATCCAGGTACCCTCGGGATATCCACTGCCGACGAGGATCAGCTGAGGGACTTTCAAGACATCCAGGAAGACACGCTCAGCCCGAGCCTCGACTCGAATCCAGGTAGCCCACAAGTAGTGCTCCCATCCACAAACAATATTACTGACGAAAGCACGTACACGACACTCTAGCAGCACCAAAAATCTCCAACCGATATCTTTATGCATATCCTTGCACCGACCAAAATACGCCTTGCCTTCCGTGTCGACTCGTTTATGCTCGATGCTAACCGGAGAATCATCGGGGCATGACTAGTATTGCTCGTGACCACCTGCGTTTTATCCCTACAAACAAAATTGAGAATTACTGCGAGTCAAGCACTGCTAACGTATATTCTGTCTGGCATGTTTGTAGATCTTATGAAGATGTTCGACAACCTCCGACCCGTCATGGCTTTTGAAAGTAAGTTCCTTATTTTTATAATAGCCTGTACGACCTAGGCATCTCACGTTCTTTCCTTTTTCAATTTATATCTTGCTTTCTCTATTGCCTCTACTTCGAGTCTCTCTTCCTTCAGCATGTGTGTTTCTCTATGCTCGCACGACGACTTAAACTGTGCAAATATTGCGACGTGAAAAGAATCGCTAGAACTTTTTTATCTTTCTTGCACAATAATATTTTTTTTCCTCTCCTTTCTTATATACACTACGCTTTTCTGCGTAAGCTAAGAGATGGGTAAAGCAATGTATTATATGGCGTGTTTTTATACTTGCCGGAAACTCGATTCTCCGTACAGCTGCCAGCCTTTCTGTTGTGCCTTGGAAAACGTAAATGTTTTCTTTATTTTAATTTTAGTGAATCATTCACAGACACTGTCATATTGTTGTAACCCTCAAACTCCACACAGGTGTGAATTCGCACCAGCCATTGTGGAAGGTGTGGAATTTAAGGATTAACTAATGTCACATACAGTTTTTCATTTTCCAACACAAATTTTTTTAATGAGGAATTCTTTCGTCATTCTCTCTTTCCGAAAATAATTATGCTCGAATTCTTCATTTATCAGGATACCCATGGCCACGTTAGCTTCCAAAAATAGGGATTTGTAAAGACTTTTCGGCAATCGCATATTTGCGGAATATATCATCGAAGAATTTACCTCGTCCCTCCATCTTTTCCATCGAAAGTTCATATTTCAAACCATTCGAAATCCGTCATTTACCGGAAGGCCTCACAATGAGCTCCCGCAACATACATCTTGCTCATCTACTTTTGTTGTCAATGTTACAGAAATTATCGACAAGGTGAAGGCACAACAATTTGCAGTGAGCGATGTAAGTTTCTATTTATATTCTATGCCACAAAATGTTTTCCAGTCAGTAAATCTTAATTCAATTACTGCCATGTTTTATTCTTGTATCGTCTTTGTTAATTTATTCTAGCAATTCATCAAAATCGTTTGTCATATTGTTGTTATTTGCTCTTGAGATTATTTTTTTCCGTGCTAATAACGCATTCACATTACAGCAAGTTGTTAACGAAGAAATACGAAGAACCCACCTTCAGCTCGCAAATAGCATGGCGTTGCGAGAATCACAGTTCAGCATATTAGAACGTGATCTGGAAGATCCGGCGCTTCAGGCTCAGCGTGAAAATTTTAATCAATTGCAGGTAATTAATTAGTTCATTTGTAATTGATCGAAGTTAGAAGACAGCATACAATAAGAAAATCTGTAGAAGGAAGCAGCTATGAAAAATAAGTACCAGGGAAAGTGAGAAATTTGTAAGAGTAGAAGAAAGATGCTTGTCTTTAATAAATTTTAAAGAATAATTAATCATTTTTCCATCGAAAGTAATCCATTGTTCTCGTTGTAATAATTGCCGTCTGGCGTCATATGTTTCAGGCGGAACACGTAAAGCAAAAACAATTCCTTAAAACGCTGCAACAAGATCATCAGAACATGCAGATCAACGTGAAGCATAACATCGACGTATGAGAATTAGCGATCAAGGAAGTGCTTGGAAAGGCTTTCAGTTCGTCCTCGAAAAAGGAAATATAATAAAATAGAAACAGTAGCGGATTCTTCAATAGGAAATTCACAAAAGACGACGAAAATTCGATCTTTCCAAAATCTCATTGAGTTGTATCTGTGTGCAACTTCACTGATTTTGCCATGACGTGAAATCCTACCATCTCGAGGATATATTCTCAAAGCTCTACTCAGGAAAAGTGCGAGAAGAAATGAACATTATTACCAAAACAGAGACACCCCGTACACATTAGAAAATAATTAAAAAAAAAATGCGTTCACCCTGTGTCCCCGTAGGGACATCTCTACGCGTGCACGATCGCTACGATCTTTAATGTACTTCAGGGAAACTGTGATTCGCATATGATTGCATTGCGTATCCATATTCTAGAGCGGGTACTTTCTTTTCATTATAAGAAATAATTCGATCCAAATTCCCGATTCGCACTCCCACGAAAATCAAAGTTCCTCATTTTTACAATTATCCGTGTCTAAAAGAAGACGAACGGTGCTCCCATACACATGTTATTCTCTGGATTGTTCTCAAGCAACAACTGTAAATATTGTTACGTATCAGATTTTATTTTCTCTCACAATGACAAATGCAGTCCGCGTACCTTCATTTGCGTGAATGTACACGTAAGTGTACTAATATATATGTCAAGAAATACGTACCAAGTTCAGATGCGTAATCATATGCATTTTATATTGATTGGTTATACGCAAAAAAGACTTAGTTTACAGATAGATGGTCGATACGGAAGAATATCGTCCAGCACACACTACTCGAGTACTAATTATGTAAAATACAGAGCGAACGCGATTCGCGTTATAAATAGATGTTCCTTCAATGACGACGAAGTGCGAATGTGAGTTGGAACGAATTTCAAGGCTCTTCGAAGAGCAAACCCGCTCATCCTCGCGCCTCCTCGCATCAGAGTAAATCTGCAATACGCAGTTGGCAATTTTGAAATCTATCCGAGAGGAGGGAGAGGAAAAAAAATATAGAATGAGAACCAGGGAAAAGGAATGACAGCAAAAGCAACAAAGAAATTCGAGATATAAATATAGATTGGAGAGAGAAAACTTGGACGTGAAATTCAAAACGGTGGACGGGGCTTTAGAAAATCTTGTAAATAATGCGCCCACTTTTTTCGCCCGAGCTTTTTTTTTTAAAGCGTCAGCCTCACGAAACACTTTTCAGTCCGAAATTACAAATAATGTAAAATTGGGTGTAAACTACCTCTGCGCGATGGCATGACGATTGAACGACGATAACGATGATAACGTCGACAATTATGACGTATGCATAAAAACAAGGAATAACATTACTGTTTATTAAGCGATTAAGATATTAAGGATAATTTTATGAACGAAATAATTAATCGTTGCCATCGATTTAATTGGCTCACTGTAAGACTGCAATGTTATAATATATGCATATATTATTATTATTATTATTATTATTATTATTATTAATACGATTATACTTATTATTATGCATAATAATAAAGTGAATCCATTGTAATATCTACCGTATGGGTATAAGTACAGACGCTGGTAGCAATGGCGTTCATAGTTGTAATCGAAGTCTTGTCATCAACATCGTATACGTGGTTGAATTTCAAAAAATCACGAAATCTGGTACCGTCATAATTCACCATCTTGGATTATAGATGGTAGGAGACTCGTATTAATCTTAATAAGTATCGTACGCGGTTCTACTGAATTCATTCAACAATGTAAACGATGCATACGCCATCCGTGCTACCTGTTCATCTCTATCTATTACGTTTAGAGGCATAATTTTGCGAGTAAGCAATGGTATACTAATATACTTACCGTATGACATGATATTTACTGTATATCATTATTAGTCTACCGCTATTGTTTTTACTTCGACGAGCGTGTGTGAAAAGAATACGAAAGTGCCAAGATCATTAGCGCTGACCTTTTCCAATTGATAATGTTAAGTTCGAATCCCAGGTTAATTATTTTTTCATCGACTGTTTATAAGACATAATTACAAGTACCGCGTTGATAACTGTTGAAGCGGTGAAGTAAAACTTTTTTTTACTGCTTGACCAATGCCTCAGTAATCCGGATTCCGTATCAAATTATTTGTATCTTGTCAAATCATTTTTTTTTAAATGTATTCGTCTGTGTTACGTTTAAAATTTGACAATATTTTTTCCCGACAAATCGCGATTTTGCTATGCAACGATACTTGGCCTTTCGCGAAATAATCACGCCTCGTATAACCTACCGTTTAATTTTAATTTCTCTTTTTAATTTGTAAGTCTGACTACAAACAAAAGCCGTGGGTAAAATGAATACACATTAATGTCACGCAAAAGTGTTTCCCAAACTCACAAGCGTACCCAGGATACCTTGTATCAAATTTTTTATTGCTATAGTCGTCATTATACCTTAGTTTTGGCTTCAAGGGGTCATCTTCTTATCACTTAAATTTGTAAAAGAGTCCCCTTGAATGTAAAACTGATGTCAGAAAATGATTGTTCTTGTATCCTGAGATAAATTTAATTTTTTTTATGAACAAATGAGAGATGGAAAGATACGGTATTTTTTTAATGTACAGAGAATTTTTATGTCTGAAGAACACATCCCTGGGAATAAATGTGATTTTCGTGTCATTTAGGACATGATTACAAAGGACGCATTTGGAAACCGTTTCTCCTGTTAGATCTTACAATGTTTTCTCAATCACACTGAGATCGAATTCGTAAGAGGAGGACGCAGTGATTCAGTATTGATACGAGTAAATTTTCCAATTGCATCCCAGTGACTAAGGCCCTCGTACGTTGCATCTCTCCAAAAATATATATATAATATATACATATATAAATAAACAATATATTTGTGAAAGCTATTTTCATAGACGTTGCTCATGATATATCGTCGTCTGTGGTACAACTGGTTAAAGTTCGGGAAACACTATATCCTACTTCGATAACATGTAAAAAAGATATACTACGTCATAGCACCAGCTACATTACAACCCACCCACCCGCACGTGCCAACATGATTCCCTATTCCTTCTAGAAACCCGTCGCTCATTTCCCACCCACAAATGTATAGTACAAAATACAAATCCAAACTGTCTGTGTTCAATGTAATCCCTCGAGATATACAATTTTTAGTGCATCAAGAAATTCACCCATATATGTCCCCTGTGAGATGCGAACTTTACGCGTGCCGCGTAATTCCAATAACCAATTTCTTTTTTCGACTTGGTATCGTCGAGCGTTAAGATACCAAAAAAATATATGAAGCATACTCCTGGTGACGAGTGTTCGTTCAATGTTCAAAAAGTTTCCTAAAAGAAGAAAAAGAATTTCCATTTGTAGTAGTAAATTTTATTCTTGTAATTGGATTTTATTCTCTCTGGCTCGCTCTTTAATTGTAATTCCGGCTGTCTTTTAAAGCACAAAACACTCGTCAACGAGGGTTCTATAATGTTACACATTTCTCCATAAGTAATCTAAAAAAAATAGAGTATTGTCGATATGCACTGCTCGATCGTGACCTAAGCGGTGACAGGATGTGTTTTGTCATGAAAATCGTGTTTCAGTCTTAGGTATGAAATTAGGTGCAACTCGAAAAATTTACGATGATAATATTAAACATTATATGCAATAGGATGTGAAAGATGAACGAACAAATTTTCTGTTTTACTGTTTTTCTTTAAGCAAATCGTGTTAAGGTGACGTTAAATCTAGTAACTATTTGTCTTGGTGTTTTCTCTTAAATAATGTTTCGAACCGTAATAACGTTACTCGTTTGTAGTATTGTACAATGTTTTAAGTCAGCTTTGTTTATCATCGTGAACCTTCCGATAACAAGCAAGATTCGATCCGAGCGCCATCTATCGATGTTGTCGTTAAGCAATCGTTGACTATCATGAGAGAAATGTTGACATGAGAAATAATAAAATCGAAAAGGGGGAAGTATTGCGTAATTAGATGTACGTCGTAATTGAAACGTATGTCATTTCATCAACGTTAGAGTGGATACTAATAGCAACACAGACAGTCTGCTCTGCAGCACTATCATATATGCGATATATTAGGAAAAAAAACTGAACTTTATAATATTGTAAATACGTTATTATATTTTATACTTTGTTGATTGTATATAAGTGGTTTTACCTTTCTTCTTTTCATTTCTTTCATCTCTCTCGTTTCTCTTTGTTAACCTATCTGTTTGTCTCTTGGACTTGATTGTGAGTGGGCATAAGACACCGCAATGAAAATACATAGACAACCGAAACACTACAGAGAGACACATGCGCGAATACATACATACGTCCGTGTACATTTTTTGTAAGATACATGTGCTTTTGAATGAAAAAAAAAAAATGAAAATTTTACTTAACCATGTTTCTCGAATGTTTGAGGAGTTACGGGATCTTAGTGAAAATGTAATTATCCATTTGAAATTTGTACTATCAAGTTATCGGTCCGTGACACAATTGCCATCAAAATTTCAAGTTAACAATTTACACCAGTTACGAAATATTAACTGTCAGAGTTACTCTCTTATCCGTGTCAAGATGCGGAAAAATATCCAGAAATGTTGGTTATAGAATTCTAATGAATGAACAAATGTAACCAGCTATATGAAAGACTAATCAAAGAGTAACGGAACTGTTAGGATGAGCCAGTACAAAAATCAAGTCATTGGTCTATACCGTTAATTAATTATATTAAAAAATTAATGTAGAAACATCTTGTTTTTTGCCTCCACGACTGAACGTAGGGATGATGTGTGACAACACCGCATGAGCATAGAATGGCATACATTCCTGAATATCGTAATAAGACTAAAGAATGAATTGAAGATGATTCAAATGTTTTTTGATGATACTCTGATGAAAAAAAAAATGATTCCCACCAAAGATGTAAAGGCAAAGCTCAGTTAATGAACGCGTCGTTGCCATTTCTAAAAACTATAATTTGCACATAGAAATAAAATATGACCGTTAAAATAATATCAAAAAATTATAACTATGTTTGTATTGCAAAAAACTTTGTATCTGTAAGTCTAAACATCAACATTTTTTATAACGACATTTTTTACTAAGAAAATTTAATGTTAACGAGTCAGCGTCCTGCTGATAAACGATAGAGTTCTCCCTAATTTTCCCCTATGCGATAAGAGATCTCGAAACTCCTTAAGCCGAACGAGTGCTACGTTATTCTCATTGGTTTAAGGCACTCTTTGGGAATTTGCAATATTTTATTTTATTTGGAAAACAACGTCACAGACCCCCGTGTTCCTTTGAGTCTCTATTCCGTGTCACGTGATAATAATATTTCAATTTTGTTGACAATTCTTAGATAACTGACACTCGTGCAAGATAGCCAGCTGTCAATTGGGCACAGAAAATCCTTGCGTCAGATCTATTTATGAACTAAATGCTCATGTATCGTAAAAGGCAATTTTAAAAAATTTCAGAGAACACGGGAACGAATTTAAAATCCCAAAAGTATTGTCACTTAACCAAAGAGAAATTAAAATTTCATGTATAGACATTTTTGATAGGTAAGAACTGGAAGTCGAGTTTATTATAAACGAATTGAGTATCCCGTCAATTTATATAAGATTTTACTTTCTGCCAATCGAATACAAAGCCGCCATTGTGCATTTTACAAATGTCATGTATACTCATTAAGTATGGCAATTTCTGTAAGTGCAAAAAGTGAACATTCGCCACCTTGCAGATATTATGCAAAATCGAAATGTCAATGCTAATGATTAAGTAGTAATAAAATACAATCCACATTTATTTTTAAAGTGGGAAAGAACTTGGGTGAATCGAAGGGAATGTGAAAATTGGGATAAAATTCAATTTTTGTCCCTTTCTTCAAAGCTAGTCGAACTTCATCAGGACCTCGAAGAAAGATTTCAATAAAATTCAAACAAAGAAGTATAGAAATATAAATGAAATTAAATTGTTAGGTGACAGTTCGAAAACATATACAATGACATTCATATGAAAGGTGTCCCTATGGAGTTCAATTTGAATTGAGTGACAATTTTGATAAAATAGATGTAATTCTGAATTCCACCCAATTACGGCGGGAGGCTGACAACTTATTTTTGGCTCTCAGATTTCTAATTATTTTAAACTTAAAGACAAATCTCCTCCAATTTTTCAAAGAGTAGAATGAGATAGTAAAACTTACATACACACAGTTTAATCACACGGGACATATGTACACTGAAATATATACACAGTCGTGACTTTATTGTGAATAACCCGTAAAATGTAAAGAGATTTATATAAATGTTTACAGTCGAAGGTTCAAGACATTTTGCGTGTACGTTAAATGAATATGTTTTCCGGGGCGCAAAATCACGGGAAAATGGAAGATATATGAAAAATACGAAATAAAGAAAAAAAATATGGGTAAATGGAAGGAAGAAAAAAATATGTAAATGATGAATTAATATTACGAAATCGCGAGGATGTATTAAATTACGCGCGCGAAATTTTTCTTGCTTAAATATAACGAATTAAAATTAACGATATTGGAAACATTTGTCATGTAATCGATTAATTCAACATATTAATATTGCTTGAAAAATTAATGAGAGAATTAATAACTGTCGGTAACGGCAGTTTGGACGAAATTTTACGAGTAGTTGAGCTTTTCTAATTGTCGATGGGATACATGCAATTTCTGCACAATGCGCTCGAAATACAAATAAACAAGTCGGTTCGCAGGACAATGCATGACTAATGAAAATTACGAAGCTAATTTTTTTATTTTAATTTTTCGCATTATCTGCCATCCGTATATTAATTTTTCGTGAATATCATTGTTCCACCACAATTCTATATTTCAGTGTTGATATAGGCGAAACTGCACGCAAGTGACGTCAGTGTTATAAATATTAACGAAATGGGTTCGGAAATAATTTTTTTGCTGTTTAAATCATGCGAAATCTAATTGTTAAAGTTTTCTTTGAGTATTGTTAAATGATTTTAAGTATTTATTTAAAATATCTCAATGGATTGTTGATCGGATTATTATTATCAATCAGCAAGTCACGTGGTGCATTGTGCTTGTGCAGAAATTCGCGGCGAGGATAGTTTTCTAATACGCTAGAGAAGGTTAAGAGATAACACGTAATTAATTAATGATAAATGAATTAATAATGTAACGAATAAAAAAAACAAATTACATATAATTGGGGATCATTGTACACGTATAGTTATTGTGTCAAGACTGAAATATCAAGACTTTCGTAGAGGTGGAACGTTTTTGTAAATAATACTGCCTAAAAATATATGTAGGAATTATATAAGAAAAATACAGTAATAATGTTTTGTCTGTTACTTACTCACCCGATATTTTTGCCCTCTGCAAATTATTATTCTCTTCCTCTGCTTGTGTCTTACTTATCGTTCATGGAATCGGACCGTGATAATCTATCCTTTCAAATTATACGTTATAATTTGCCACTGTTTATCAGAATTAATTGAAAAGCATTTATTTTATTTTATTAATAAGGCAACTACTGAATAGAGGATGAGGTAAAAGACTAAATGATACAAAACGACGAAAATTGAGACTTTCCAATCGGGACTTAAATCATAGGTTGCTTATTGTCCAAATAGCCATATAAATTAGTGACAAAGCAATATTCTTAAAAATATATTTCAATTCTATTTAACATTAATATCGATGATCAACATATACAAGAAATCCTACTAGCTTGAACGATTCAAATAATTTTATAATCTTTCTTTAATGGTATCCGTGCCAGATTCAATCCTATATCGAAATCATAAATGTTTCAGTTCAGCAATTACGTACTCTACGCATGGCATCGGCCAGTTACTTTTTGAAAATGCACATGTGTATTTTTTATATTGTCGTCGAATTAAAGTGCAACACAATGTGCAAATCAAAGTGCAACTTGAGATATATCGTTGCACTAAGAAATATCTTAAAAATCTTTTTTTAGGCTGCAATAGACATTTTTTAATTAGATTTTAGTATTTGCAGTATCCGCACGTCTTGAATATTATAACGTATCAGATATACAGTTCGAACGAAATCGTTCGAATTAAGATAAATATTAATTAGGAGACACTCATATATAAACTGGCTCAGATAATTGAGATTCGCTTTTTGATACATAGTCTTAAGTATATAGGGTGTTTCTTTTATCTCTGCCACCCGAAATAACTCGGTAATTATCGATGTAAAAATGCTATAATTAAACACTTTATTCACGTATAATTAATCACTAAATGATTAAGGATATATTTATTTTATGTGATATACTTAGCAATTTTTCGACCGACTGATGCTTTACTGTTAATCTATTTTCAAACAGAAGCTTTCAACAATGTATGTATATTCATATACAGGGTGTTTCTTTAATCTCTGCCACCCGAAATAACTCGGTAATTATCGATGTAACAACAAAATGTTTCAAACAAAAGTTGTACGGTGTGGAGGGGGCCACCAAATGCGACCAATTTTTTTTATTTCGGTGGAGGCGTTGACGCACAGTGAAGGTCACCTTCACTTTTTTTAAATAGAATGGTAGGAGCACCTCAATAGAATTGTGGAGCACCTCAAGCCGCATAAAAAAGATTAAGGGGTCGGAGTCGTTCAAGGTCATTCAAGGTCAGTATCGATGATACAAATCTAAATATCTCGGATCACTACCAAATATTTGGTAGTCATCCTCAATGTCCCCCATAAAGAAAAATCGAGTGGATTTAAGTCCGGTGATCTAGCAGGCCAGCCTATTCGTGATCCTCGGCTAATCTGCTTATTACTAAATTTTCGGTCGACAGCATTGCGACCTATCCGTGCAAAATGAGCTGGACAACCATCATGTTGATAGCAGAGGTTTTGCCGATCCCACAAGGTTGGATCTTCAAGAAGCACAGTTAATATTTCTTCCAGAAAAGCAGAAATAACATATAAATTTGAAAATACCAAATGTCTAAAATGACCAATCCGATCCGAGATATTTAGATTTGTATCATCCATACTGACCTTGAATGACCTTGAACGACTTTGACCCCTCAATCTTTTTTATGCGGCTTGAGGTGCTTCACAAGATGACTGAAAAAAAATGTACCATTCTATTTAAAAAAAGTGAAGGTGACCTTCACTGTGCGTCAACGCCTCCACCGAAATAAAAAAAATTGGTCGCATTTGGTGGCCCCCTCCACACCGTACAACTTTTGTTTGAAACATTTTGTTGTTACATCGATAATTACCGAGTTATTTCGGGTGGCAGAGATTAAAGAAACACCCTGTATATGAATATACATACATTGTTGAAAGCTTCTGTTTGAAAATAGATTAACAGTAAAGCATCAGTCGGTCGAAAAATTGCTAAGTATATCACATAAAATAAATATATCCTTAATCATTTAGTGATTAATTATACGTGAATAAAGTGTTTAATTATAGTTAAAAGTAATTTATTAATTCCAATGCACAATCATCCTTCTTCATCTCTTTAGAAGATTTCTACGTCGAGCACATAAATATCAACTGATCAATAAACATTTTAAAAAAGATTCTTCAAAATGTCGAAAATTGTATATATCTAATGAAACGACTTTTTGAATTAAAAAGAATATAACATAAATAGGAAGCAGACTGATTTAAGCACATACCGAGTATATTAGGTAAGATGCACGCTTACGGTTTGCGACGAAGTGCTGTGCGATTTTGAAAATCTGATGTGACAACCACTGAATACCTTTTTGTTACGCATCGATTGCGCATATTATTATTGTTCGTTTAACCATGCTAACGTTTAACTTGCCATTTCAAATGATATTGGAAAAAGTTAAATGCAAAAGTCATAGAGCAAGAAAAAAGAATAGAGATAAAAGGAATTCATATGCTCAACCTTATTCGACAGATTTACTGTGCTTTCGAGTTTCTGGCCGTTAGGTAATATCATTGGTTATAAAAGATCGTAAGTTGCTAGTGGTCCGATTGACGAATTATATTATTAAGTGTCTACACCAACACTTAAAAAGCAGGAACCACGGTGAGTAACAGTTAGGAGTGCTGGAAATTGTAAAATTTGCTAGATCGCAGAACACGCGGAGTGCGGAAGGGGGGGGGCCACTTTTGGGAGCACTTAGGCTTAAAGCGTTCATTCCCCTACGAGCAGGTCGCCTATTCCTGCCTCTTGGACGATCCTGTCTTATCCATTTTTATACTTTTTTCAGTATTTATTTCCTGTCTAGTTCTATACTCGTATTCTTTACTTTGCTACATTCATTTTGTTTTATTTTTTTTTATTTCTTAACTTATTCTTTGTTTTCCTTATTTCTTTCTCTCTGCTCTGTTCTAGCTTACTTTCCATTGTGCTTGTCTTACTTTCCCTATTTCTTTGATTGGGCTAAGCATATTTCTTCGATTAGTCATAGAAGCGTAGTTCATTCTTTTAGAGAAACACACGTAGACTATGGTGACGGGGGTTGCCCTTCCACCTCATTTGCTGAGCTTGCTCGGTAGGTTGGGCCCAAGTTGTAGTCGCACTATGGTCTTTCCGGAGCTCCCGACGGGGGCCTTGGGCACCCTTAGGCCACGCTACGACGATAGTCTTGCGTGCAGTCGATCTAACTAGCAGTCTATCTTTCGCGGCTGTAGTATATCTTTTCGCCTTCCTGAAAACGCTGCAAGGCGTCGCTATGTGTCGGGGGGGAGGGGTAGTCCGTTGGCTCTGGGTTAATTAGCTACCTTTGCCCGTGTTCCTGGTTTAGCTGCACTTGAAGTGGTATCAGTTCTTTTGAGTAGTTTTTTAATAAGTCTCTGCCGGAGACCAGAGACTCGCGCGTTTAACTCATCATTTGCGTCTTTCTTGTTACCCGGCCCAGCTTCCTTCCGTTCCTGAAGTTTTTCCCTCGATCCGCAAAACACGTTATCAGGATTTACCGTGATTATTTTTAACGAGTTATTGCTAATATGCTCTATATAGAAAGTTGACGTTGGTATTGTGTTTGAAGACTGACATAATGAACTCAAATTTATATGAAGTAATGCACGGATCCGTAAAGTAGTACTCGACATGGTATCACACAAAGTTTTATTAATTATTAAATGACCATTAAGTCATAATTAATTGATAGAAATATCAGACGTAGCCTGGGTATCTGCACAGGGAAGGAACCGTGTCGCGGCTGCGTCGCGACGCAGCGTCGACGTGCGTCACAGTAGGCTTTACAGGGCTCCTCCACATCTTTGGTTTCACAGGCTCGTTTAGCAACTCGTCTACGATATCGTTATCAGCCCACCAAGAGGAAGCGGTTACCAAGGATTCGATAAATTTTCACACGCCAGCTGTTCGTCCCTCCGAGAATTCGAGTAAAAGTCATTTCTCGTTACTGAAGTGTGATAATTATATTGTTGATAATCATAACGAATAGGATACGAACGTCAGCTTGTCAGGAATAATCGTAACGAGAAGGAAACGTGGAAAATCGACACGCATTGTGTTAACGTCATGTACGTTTGTCCGTGAAAGCCAGAAAGTTGGCGCGGTGCGCACGCGACGTAATAGAAGCAACGCACCTAGCCATTCCTGTTATTGATTTTGTTACGTGGCGCTGTCATGGAGGATCTTCTGCTGCAGATTGTGAGGGAGGCCCTTAACGCGAGACTACCGAGTCTACGTAAATCGGCGCAGGAAGCACACGGTAAGTTTTAACCTATAAATTTACAGTGAAGATCTTAGTGACGTACGTCTCAAGTGATCCGTACTGGTTGGCCGTTTGTTTAAGATTTTTTGGACAAGCAACAAGGACTCTTGAGAGATCCGCCTCACGAGCTGCGAGCAAAATGTCTGCACACTTTCCAGTTAGCTTTGGAAACAAAGAGAAGCAAATTCGTAGCTTACGGGCTAGCCGGACTACACGTGCGTAATCGACAGTTTGATATTTTTAGGTTAACTTTATATTACCTTACGATATTGATCATTTCGAGTAATGTTCTCTGTGACCTGGATATTCCGTGCATATGAGCGGGGATATTCCGTGCTCGTGGTATAAGCTAAATTATACGTTGTGATATCTATGTAAATACAGCTTGCTTCGTTTTACAGAAAATGTTAAGGGACGACAGATTCCAACCGCCCTACGAACCCGAGGACGACTCCTTGTGGCTACCGGCACAAATTTTACATGCAATGGGATCCATACTTTCGCAGTCGGATGACACACAAACGGATATGCTGAAGGTAAATACACGGTAGTCGTAACTGATTGCTGCTGCGCGCATATCATTACGGTTAATATTTCTGTTTACACGGAACTTAAAGGTTCTACTGCAAGTGGCGTGCTCCTCTTATTGGACGATGAATGGGCGGTTGATCATCGCTGTGCTGACCACGTGCTGCGAAGCATTTGAAAATGGAAATCAAGCAGTGAGAACAGCGGCACAGGCAGCCACTAGTCAGACACTGCGATCATTTTGTTTGTTTTTAGGTAATTCTCGAAGATTTCGAATTAAAGTTACTGCGTGAGTAAAATTATGATGATTGATGATTTATTTTTTATTTATAGACGAGGAGTGCCAAGAAATGGATGAAAATGCAAAAAGAAATAAAAATGTTCGCGAGCGAGGAGTATCCTGCTTTAACGAAGCTATACCGATATTACAATACATTTGTAGCAAGCTGGACGAAGCGCAAACGTGAATATGAAAACACAAAACGAAGGAGGTAATTACAAAGAATGTTAACGGAGCGAATCTTTTTTTTTTTTTAGTACTGGCCGAAACGGATGCACCGTGGTATTCTTGCTGGAATGTCTACACACTTTGATTTCATCCCTTCCGCAAAAGATACATACGAATACACATTTCACGACATTCCTCTGGCAAAAGTTTTGTCCCGCTTTAATAGCATTCCTGGGTACACCCAGAGTAGACAAAACCTTTACGTCACGAGAGGGCAAGGAGTCTGAAGTGGGCAGGGGATCAGGATACCTGGCAACTTCCTTAGGATTCGATAGCCATCAGGCGAAGACCGTGTATAGGTAAATTCGAGAATGTTAAAAAAAAGTTAAGTTACAATATTAATAAGAAACATAATCTCTTTTCAGTATTGGTACCGAATTGGTACGACTAGTCGGATGTATAGGATCCCTACGTCCCGTACTGGAATCCGTATTTCACCGGATGCTTCTCTATCCACCTCCGCAACAACGTCTTGAACCTTTAAAAGCCCTTAGAGAACTCTTACGCAGTCCCAGTCGCGTGGTCGACTTTGCAGGACCATTATTGCTGGAAGATGAGAGAAGCAGCCAACTTCAGAGCGATATGGCTCTTATGCGCCTGTAAGTCGGCAACGGTCCACGCATCAATTTTTATTTGGATTCACTTAATGAAAGTATTAATTATCGACAGAGCCATGGACTCTATAGAAGAGTCGATTGTAGCAGGACCTACAATTTTGCATGCCAGTGTTGCATGCGTGGTAGCAATGTTGTCTGCCTTACAAGAGCTGTGCGAAGGTCGAGCTATCAGTCATGGCTATACGTGCACCATTAATGGTTTATATGAGGAGTTAGAAGCTTGCGATTATAGAGGACCTTTGACCTATCAGAGCATGGCACGATTACCCAAGACCTATAGGTAAGTAATATCTGATCCGGTATCGATATGCCAATGTATAAATGATTCGATATATAGGGAGCAATTAGAACTGATGAGGAAAGGTGGTAGTACCGGAAACGGTATTGGCGGTGGTTCCGATTCTGAATCATCAGGTCACGGACCGTCTGAAAATGGTGACTCAACGGACACCGAAGGCCCCCAAAATGAGTCTGATGATATCAACGAAGAGAACAGTCCCGATGAGAATGATTATGCCTTGGAGAATGAGAGGGAGAGACTGAGACTTGAAAAGTTACCAAAGTGTCTTCACGTAGGTAGACAAGTTGCCGAAGAGTGTAATGTTGACGTTGAACGTCACAATGCAAGACGTTTTGCTAAAACTTTGAGAACCGATCTGATACCCATGGTACTTTCATTGCGAAGCAACATAGAGGTCGATGAGGCGTTACAGAATTTCGCGTCCGAGTACTGTCAAGGTATGTACCTATAGTTTAGAAAGTGACAAGGAGTTTACTTATATTTATAGAAAATCGTTATTGTTATTTTCAGGTGTTTTTGCGGCACAGCAACGGTTGCAGGATCAGGGTGATACAAGTGTAGATACTTGTGCACTTATAACAATAATGAACGCGGATGGAATATATTTAGCTACGTATGCAGCACTTTTGTTGAATCTCAAATTAATTAAAATGAATTATTATAAAGAGGAGGGACGTCTGATTCCCATAAGCGAGGTAACAGACTTCTCGATAACGTATATAAAATTGTTTTTTACGTTGACAAGTTTTTCATACATTGTTCATCGTATACAATATTTTTAGGAACAATTCGTCGAGGAGGTTCACGGGTCTGGTGTTTTAGTTTATTTATCAGCAACGTGGCTCTCTGAATTGTATCAGCAAGTATTAGCGTGTAATTTATTAGAAAAGTGCGGATACGATCCAGCCAGTACAGAGAACAGTGCTTTAGTGAACGTATTGACAGGTTGGCAGAAAATAATTCTATAAATAATATAAAAATAACGATCCATAATCTATTTAATTATATAAAATTTTTGTAAAAGACATAGATGGTCTCTACGGTAGTCAAAGAGGTGGGCAACTTCTGTCAGATTATCGCAGACTAGAACGTGCTCAGCTGTCTCGAAATGAACCGACACCGGAAGCGGAAGCTGGCGCAAAGTTATCAAGGAGAGTATTAACGTGCTGCTGGGCGAGTATGATGTCTGTGCTGACTGCAGGATTGAATCCATCAAAAGAAGAGAACGGCAAAGGCATCTTAAATCGCGAAGGCGCTGGACGTGAGATTAAGGACACTGTAGTCCTGGCCCTTGATGGACTTCACAGAGCTGCCACATTGAGCAACGTCCTCGGTAATCTCTAAAACAAAATACGATTAAAAAGATTTTTATTCACGACTGAGCTATAATAGCCACTTTATTCCCTGAAAAGCAGGACTAAAGTAGCATTTTATTCCCGCATATTTGGTTTTCCCGCAAATTTACTTTATTCCCGCAAAATTTTGAAAATATTTGAAAATTTTTTAGTTTTGAAAAGGTGAAAAATTTTTAAATTTTGAATTTTTTGAATTTTTGAAAAATCGTATATTTCCATCATAATGACGGTGGCTGATTTGGTTCCACTTTTTAGGGAATAAAGTGGCTATTATAGCTCAGTCGTGAATAAAGCACTATATGCAACACGAGAGTAAAGTCGGTTATTCCCGCGGGTGATTTACTGCCCTGGCTTCGCTCGGGCACTAAACTCACACCCGCGGGAATAATCAACGACTTTACTCCCTAGTTGCATAATGTACTTTTGCATAGTTGCATATTATACTTTTCCTTTAACAATTTTCTATAAATATTATTACAGGACTCCAAAATCGATGCGGTTCCATTTTCGGTCTTCTCGCTAAGGCATCTTGTACGGAACAGTCTGTGTCCAGATTGAGACGTACAAAGGACGTCCTGAGGCTCAAGTTACAAAATAAAGCTACCAACGTGCACACTTCTCACGCATTAAGTATGGAAGTTTTACTTGGTAGGGGATTGGAATTAGGTAGTCACAGTGACGATTGCTGGCCACACGTATTTACGTAAGTATTATAGACTGCAACACCTTGTCGTTACGTCCAAATTTTTGAACTGTGCTAACCTCCTGAATTTTTCGAAAGGTGTTGCCTCTACGTGAGTAAGCTGGAACACAATTTCTTTGGAAAAAATCAAAATCCAGCGTTGCCAAAGGCACAGTTGAAACGCGAGAAAGAACGTAAAGAGAAGAAAGACAAAAAAGATAATAACGGCGGTGTAACGATAGACAATAAATCAACCCAGGACAGACTTCGTTCAAGTTTTAATCTAGTCGATGAAGACGAGGAGACTTGGTACGTGACTATAGCGTTGCTACAAAGATGCGAGGAGTTGTACTAATTGTTTACCGACTTTTTAGTGTCGACGTCTATAGCTTTTTATCAAGTCCCTATACACAAAACCTCAGTACGGATACCATCCCCGAAATTATAAGAGAGTCTAACGCGGATAATCAATTCAATGGTATTTTACCTGCCGATTATGCAGCGAAAATAGTCTGCGTTTTATCTCAAGAGGTCGATAGGCTCTTTGAGGATGCTGCGCTTAAATTAAATCTGCACGCTCTCTGCTCTTTCCTGACTGCGCTCTGCAAGGCGAGTAAAGCGCAGCTCTTCAAGTGTGCAGATCAGTCGAAAGACTGTAACAGATTTTGGTGGAGACGTAAAATGCCAAGAGACGATGATCTCAGTGTCTTACTGTTGGCGCGTCTTGGAGAAGTGATGCTAAAGTGTGTTAAAGGTGGTCGACCACTGATACACGTCATGAGGGTAACTATAACGCCATGCTATGACAATAAAATCCTACTGCAGCTATTATACGTGAATTTAAAATAGGTTTGGAGTATACTGGGTCCTCACTTTATGGAAGCCGCGTGCCACAAGGATCGTGGAATATCCAAAAAAGCTGTTCAGTGCATTCACGACTCGGTGGCGGCACTTTTGAACGAACAAATAGAATTGCCACACTTCCACTTCAACGAGGCGCTCTTTAAACCATTCGAAAATCTGCTATGCCTAGAGCTCTGCGACGGTGATGTGCAAGATCAGGTAAGGCGTTTCGAATGACAATAAATCCAAAACGTATCGCTACAGATCAGATCGCATTGTTACAGATCGTTAACAGTATTTGCGAGTTCGTTGAAACAAACAGAACCGAAATCCGATCAGGATGGCGTCCGTTATTCGGTGCTCTGCGCGTAGCTTCGGTTGGAAATTCAGAGTCCGTGGAATCAGCGCCACTGTTAGAAGTCTTCCGTGTATTCCTCTCGACAGACAATACCCTGGTGTTCGCAAACGCAGCCCTGGATTGCATCTTATGTTTACTGAAACACGTGAGAGGTCCTGGTGACGGAGACGTGGAAGATACCTCAACAGGAATTAATGACGATAATGCAGATGGCGCCAGACGTGATCAAGTCCTGAGTACATCCTTCAGCCCTAATAAAATGACAATGGATTCGCGAAAAATGCGACTTTGCGTCGAGAGCCTTAAATATTTACTGAGCTGCAGCGACATATTGGCATCCATGTATCGAATGCCTGCCTGTCCGATATTCCATTCCGCTCAAAGAATTCAAGTATCGACGATTCCACAATACGTCGATCCAGTGATACCAAATTTGGAATTGACCAGGTTCGATCGCAACGCTGAATCCATGCAGGAGACAATTCCTGAGATGTCATACAAGATTTTATCAACCTCCCACAATGGCGATCAGTCTCAGCAACCAACCATCACGTTACAAAGTATGGACAAGCCCAGTGGCATATTAAGGGTTTGGTATATACTGATAGAAGGATTAGCCAGTGCCACTATGATATGTCCACGAAAGTATCAGCCACATACTTTGGAAACACTCTTTCACCTGTTACGTGACACTCTGAACGTCCCCGGACCAGCATTCGGTCTCTATTGTGTCAATCACCTACTACTTCCGATGGTTCAAAACTGGTTACGGAAGACTTCCAAGATTTTTCGAGGCTGGGACAACTTTGCACCAAACTTCAAGCAATGCTGTGGTCTCACTACTGATCTGGTAGTGGATTACATAACTCATCTCCAAGGTGAATACGTCCTACCAACTGTATTAATTTTCTTAAGTCTATAAAAATTACCATACAATCGAATCGATTCTCAGGTCCTGACGTCGTCAGAAACGATACTTTCCTGGCAGCGACGACACTAATGCTAAAACAGCTGTTGTTAGTAATGGCCGAATGCGTCGTGCAACCCACAGAAAGCATAGCGAGACTCGGTTGTGCCTGTATAAGGTAATTCAACAAATTATTATAAATACACTTAAAAGCTTGTTTTGCCACTGGACATAGTTATTTGAATGCTGCCAAGAAACATGAAAAATTCAACCTGAAGAACGAATATGAAGAAACGCCGTTAGTACGGAAGGCGCGGAATGCGCACCGTATATCGCGTTCAACGGGCGGAGCGTGCGTGTAAGATGATAACGAAGCTTGACAGGCTGTCGGATAGGATAAGGTAGCCACCGATATTCGACACCCCACGTTCTCCCAACGACGCAGATATTCGCAAACGCGTATATACTCATAACGTTAAACTTTAGCACACACGCTTGTATCTCGTGCCGCTGGTCCCCGCGTGCGTCCACGCATTTTCTTCCTATTAATGCACGGCACACATCGAGCTGTAATTCTATCCCCGATCGAAAGGTATCGATGTACTGCGTACGAGCGTTATCGGTAATAAAAACGAGGCAGGTTCGCAAGCAAAGACTAACTAAGCTGCTGCTGAATGGCAGAACTGGGATTCTGCGATTTAGCTGATCACAAGTTTCTCTCAGATCCGGCCTTGCTCTTTATATGCTCTATCTATAAGACATATTAAGACAATTAACGATCATAAACGAGTAGTCTATGAATAATACATTTTTAAGGTAAATCTCTGTATCTGCGTAATAGACACGTGCTGGTCAGCAGTGGCCCAAATTTAACGTCGGAGCAATGGGAAGTATGCGGAGTGGCTTGCTATCGTGCTTGCTCGAATTCACTTCAAGAACTTCATCAGCTCACTATGGCCTTCTCACCGCGATCTGAGTCCTTCTACGGAGACGTTGCTCAGGTGAAGGTCGCAGCACGTCGCGACGCCACACCCGAGGAATCCGAACGTTTGCGTCAGCTAGCCGCACAGGTATCTGTTCTGTACCTTATGGATCATTATATCTTACATCTAGTGCTATCGTAGACCATATGGATCCAGTAGACCAAGTAACGAGTACATAGAAATCGGTTTTCCAGTTCCATATAATAACTTGAACATACCGATTTCAATAATACCGCCAAGTCTCTTCTTCGTTTCTTCCGAAGAAATTTCGTAGAGCCTTAGTAAACGCTAGTTAAGTGGATTCTAATGGCGGCTGTGTGTCTTGGCACGAGCACGAGACCAGGAACAAAAAAAAAGTCGAACGTACCTTTTCGGTAACGTGACTGCTCTCAGGTTAGCCAGCTGCGAGAGGCACTGAATGCCGTGAAGAGGCAGAACGCGGCTTCTCTGCCGATGATGCCTTACGACGAGTCCACCGTTGAGACGACACTGCTCAACAACCATCACCACACTACTACTACTACTTCCTTCCCCGTTGGTTCTAGACAGCACAACACACCCCCCGATTACACTAACACTGCGACGAACATGGGCCCCCATTGGCTCTAGCCGTCCACGGTAACTCACGTCATGGATTTTACGAATTTTCTCTCATTCCCTTCGCGAATTATCGAGGTCCTAGCTCGCGGCTTTACGGAATCATCATCGGTAGGCCTTTTCATTATATTTTTTATCATTCATCCCACCGCGTGATCTTTACTCACATTGCTCCGCATCCTCTGTACACGTTGTACGTATTACGGAAAAAAAAGGGTACATACGACGCGAGACTTCATCCTGATCCCATATTAGCTGTTACGTTCTACTAATATATGTTTTTCAATTTCTCCATAGGAATCGCTGTTTTTTGATAACGATACTTCAACGTTAGAAATCGGCCTGCCGATGGATGCGTCTTTATTATGTATTTCGATCGAACAATCACCCAGTTTAGACGTTTGCACTTGCTGGTAGAAGGCACGAGAGTTGCTACAGGAGAATCCTCGATAGGGTCCTTTCCGAGTTACTTATTTCCTCAGATAAATGAACTCGACTATTTCACGTGTAAAAAAGTTATTATGACGTCGCCTGTAACTGTTTTGAGAATTTTGATACGGAGGGACCCTGTCGCAGGCACTGATAGTGTCATTTCGTCCAAGTCGCACAATTTTGTTATATATCACTGCTAAAATCCATGGCTTGAGACCATGGCTAGAATCCTTCATATATCACCAATCGAACACCAATTTGTAGGTCTGCAGCTTTGCTACGTAGATAAAACGCACGAGTGTTTCGAGTGACTTGATAATTCACAGATTTGAAAGAGTTAGTATGAAAAATATACCCTTAGGAGGGTTACTGCCGTTTACCACTACCACCGGTGTTCCTGTACCACCCTTAATCATTATCATCGATCACTGTCATTCGTTATCATTACTCTAGCTACTATGAAATTATTGCCTATGCATTCAAACAGTACTATCCGGTTTCTCGAGTAGTTTTTTTTTTCAATTTAAAAACAATGCGCAATATCCAAGCGAGAATTTATCTAATCGAAAAATCGGACAAGTATACAAGATCGATCAGATAATAGCGCCAAAGTATGAGAATGGCTTCGTACCGTTGCACCAGGAATTTCATTACTTTGCCACTAGGTGTTTCTGCTGGAGGAACAGCGTACCGAAGAGCTTGCAGGAATCTCGGATGAGAGATCGTACGTCTTCCTCCTGTATCCGCCATCGGTTGCCGCAACGCTTAATCCTGATCTCTACATAGTGAGAGTGCAGCTGCGAGCTTTGGTCGTTGGTCTCTTGGTGCATCAGATGCTGTTGCACTGCGTTGCCAGTGTTTTACTTCAGGGAGTTAGTCCACTGGTACCTAGGTACGTATACCTCAGGAATTGATGATCGATAATTGTTAATCAAATGGAATGATAAATTAATTTCTTTTTAGCCTTGCTCACGTTATTCTGCACCCGATAACATCATCATCCTCAAGATCAACGGTAGAAACATCATCGTATCTATCCTACATGAGTTCTAATCATGTCAGCACATTCCTGTCAGCTTTGGATCTCTCTTACGCAGCTGCTCTCAAGTTCGATTGTCGGCCTGGCCTGAAATTCCTAGTACAGAAAGTTGCTAATCTGGACCAAGCGGCCAACTTGTATAGGCAAGCCGGTGCAGCTTGGACCATTAAGATCGTAGCTCTGTTCGAGCTTTGCCTACGTGAAATATCGAAATCTGATGCTGATGTAGAAACGGTTAAGATGATCTTAGGTGTCGAGGACAGCGAGGCCTGCGGGGATGGAGAACCGTGCGAAACAAAGTATAGCGATTTACGAAAATATTTGAGAGAGTTGCAAACAACTTTCGATAAGCTTTGCGAAACTTATATCGAAATTGTCATTGATAAAGATGGAGTACATTCGAAAATTGACAGTTTTGCGGATAGGCAAGTTTTCCTTCTAGTTGCGCAACCCGATGACTTTCCCGAAATCAAACGGAAAGAAGCCATGGATAGTAATGGCGCTCTGTCAAAGCAGCCTGCTGAACTATGTAATGCTCCTGCGGGCGAGCCTAATTTCTCACAGGATGACGAAGAGGATTACGAGGACGTCTACAATCCTAACTTGGACGATGGTAGCGGCTTGGAAGAGTTAGGTCTGGCAGTAGAAACCGATTCCAGACCGTTTCGATTGTCCGATCTAGCTGTCGAATATTCTACCGATTCCGGACCCGAATCGGAACCGGATACAGATGATTCTAGACCTGCATCAAGACTCGGATCCATAGACGATAGAATGGTTTATCCTGACAGATCGGAAGAGAGTTCTCGAGAAGGTTACGTAGATTCGGAAAAGGTACCAGCGAGATCGGATTGTCGATCGGTCGCAATGCACAGACCACCAAGAACACGTCGAAGAAGCGAAACCTGCATTCTCCTGTCGCAACAGAACAGTTTAAAATTTGTCTACGAGAAAGTTGAATCTGACGATTGTATAAATTCAAATGTCCATTACGGTCCACCATCACGTTCGCATTCGGCAATCGAATTGCCAATGAGTCGCGAGTCGAGAAATTCCCCAGTAAAATTACCCGCAGTAAGACTTCATTATTCTAAAAAGTCTCTAGCTAGTCCACGAGAACAAGATATGGAATCGGATGAACGAGAATCGAAATCATGCACGGAAAGTTCCAGAGTTAAAGCACGCGACAATATGGGTCTCCTTCTGGACGAGTATGAACGTACCAAAAAAAACCTCAGGACTAACCCCTTCCTCACCGAGAATGACAGAATATCAAGTACCCCGGCTCTGCCAGTTATTCCTCCAGAGGTTGAGTTACAGCGCAGGGACAGCATCAGCAAAGACAGTGAAGCTCATCGTCGTGCTTGGGCCGAGACTCTGGATGCTGCCTTAGAGTGGACCCTGGCCTTACCGGTAAGTCCTTTTGTCTCTAAAAACCCAATAAATATTAAAGAAAGACGAAGGTCGCTGATGTCAAATAACAGCGGCTATTATTTCCTCGCAGGACGAAAAGCTGACGCCTCTACTTCCGGTTCTGGTGAGAGGAATAGGGATCCTAACTCGACACGCGACTGATCCGATGCTCAAGCACCGGCTCTCCAGTCTCTTTTACCGGGTCGCTCTCCTCTACGGTCTCACGAGCAAGTAGGCAAGACTGTCTACCTTTCTGCCACTTCTGTTTCCTGTCGTTCTTGTCCTTTTTCCCCCGCGATGCTTAACGCAACATATAGGACCTCTGCTCTAATCGCACAGCATTTAATGCAGATACGTAACGTAGCAAGTACGTAGGTTCCTATTTTCGTCCGTCTCTCTCTTTATCGTTACTTCATTTTAATTCAACAATCACTCGCTCTGAGGTATTACCAGTGTGTTACGCCACCAGGCACACACTCGCGTCTATTGTTAATCCATATGAAGGATTTTACAGTTAAGTACACGTAATAATATTTTTCGATGCGCATTATTATTGTTATTATTATTGCTACGATGGTCATTATTATTATATGCGTCAAGTATGCCCGTCTTAGATTGGAGATGCATGCCATTTAAATGTTGTATCCGCTATGAAATGTGAAAGAAATACGAGGAACAATGGTGTAAATGGAACAGTAAATGAAATGAAGGAGAGATGCAACGACATGAGCTATAAGGATTTATTTGGCTCTTGAGCTCGTGTAGCCCTCCTGTCATATACTCCCCATAACCAACCTTTATTTATATTCCTTACCATCAAATACAGTTTGTGGTTCAAATGGCCGCCAGGTCTGAGCATCGCTAGCTCGTAACTTTGTCAACCGCTTCCTGGTGACGTGCAGCTGGGGTCCAGTTTCACGAGGAGCCTAGTTCCAGACGACCATCCTTTTGCATTGCCAACATTTGCAAGAGGCACCACGTGCAGCAAAGGGCTTGGACATTTTCTTGTTACCCTTAAGCCGTTCAATGTCCATACAGCAATATATAATATCATCCCCAAAATCGAGGACATCTCAAAAATTAATTTGCTCAACCATCCAACGGTGGTCCAGACTTTTAATAATTTCTGGATGAGCTAAGTCATAAAGCAGCGATGAATTTCGTGCGGAAAGTCAGCGTCACCCTGTTCGTCTGCGTTTACGTCTGCGGTCGGACTAGCCCTAGTCGTCCGTGTCTCGTAAAGAGGAAAGATTACGAGCGACGCCGCCTCGCCGTGGCACTTTATCCCTCGTGTGTCTCTGGAGCGAAGGTGGGAAAACATAAAATGTAAAATGCGTCAAGACGAAAGGTTACTTTGAACTGTTGAGGGGAATGGAGGAGAATTGGTCTCTCTTGTTGCGGCACATTTAAGGCGCTAGATGAGTACGTTAACTAATACACGCTATATCCTATACCAATAACTGCATACATACAGGATTATTCAGTAGAAACGCACCACCCGAAGTTAGCGCGCCCATTTGAGTCCTAAGCCTGACATGCGCACGCAGATCGCTAATACGCAACTTCTTCCCAGTTTCATCGAAGGATAGAACGCCGGAGCAGCAGGACGGCAACTCTAGCTTTAGGATAGAGCAGTACTTCTTTATAGCTGGTATACTATGTATAGAGTGTCCAGAAAGTAACGACCTTTCCTCTCCTTATGGCTTTATCTCCAATGGAACATGTGCCAGGAAAGTGGCGCCCATGAAAAGTTTTAACTTGAACCAATGACAATGCGTGATTTAGCGTGGCCTACTGTCGTAGACTCACTTGCATGACTCACGGACGGGTTCAGTTAACCCTATAGCTCCGAGCGTTACATATTTTTAAAACTTCACTTACTACTTAGATTTCTACTTTATCGATTGTTAAATTTTCCCAGGGGCTCAACGCGAGTGTCACAAGTATGTATACTAAATCTAGCAAAAGATTGGCTCTCGATTATACAGTTTGGCTTCCTCCACCAATGATCGAAGATTACTTGTTCGCTGGTTCGACTATAAGGCTCAGTGCTTAAAGGGCTAATCAGCGCTTCTGACTGACTAATTTTTATTTTTAATAACTCGTTGATTGCACATGGACTGGAAAAATAATAAAGGAATTTTCAATTCAGTTTTTTGCGAGTAGTACTATTCTCTTGGACACTGTATATATATACTTACAGTGTATACGATATAAGCTCTGGCGTATAGTCCGAAGTGCGGTACGTTCGTAAACTGTAACTGTTACGGAAGGGAGTTGATTGTTAATAAGGGGCTAGGTGGGTACGGAAACAGGGTAGTGCCATCTAGCGCTCCCTCGACCGCAACTATCCGTCGCTTCGTTACTGGGCCCTGCTTTAAATATTAAATGGCGCGGGCGAGATGAGGAGCTCGTAAAAAGGATTATCCCATCGCTACTGGGTGGCTTGCGCGTATCGAAGAACAAGTGTGGAAGCCGACAGAGGGACTTGGCATCCGTAAGGTATAAGCCCCGGGAAGATTGCATATATAGGAACGAATTCGGCAAGATTTTATTTCATGGAAAATATTGCGTATGTACATTGCTAACGGCGGTGCTATATTACTAAAATTGTATGACGCAACAATGATATCCTACAGCTCTCTAGAACGAGTTCACAACTCGATTACAACCAACGGATGATTATCTCCTTCTGACTCTGTTTTTTTTTAGTTTTCTCTTTTCTCATTATCTTCCGTCTTTCTCTTCTCTCGTTATACACTCTCGGCGGACTACGACGTTCCACGCCGTTTTACGACTGCACCGAATTCGTGACTATTACGTGCGCGCGCGCGCGCGCGTATACTTACGACGAGTTCATAATCTCCCGCCAAGGATATTCCTTAATGGGATCCTCACGATCGTGGAGTCACTTCGGTAAGATTCACTTCTCCACTTATCACCGCGTCGTAGCTCACCGATCGCACGCGCTCAAGGAGTCCATTTATTCGATCAGTGCGCGGGCAGCTACGTGGTCGCAGCATCCGTGGAACAGCCAAGGAACTGAAAATGGACCAGGAATTTCCATAGATCACTGGGTCACGCGATAGAAGTTTGTTTGGTCCAATTTATGAGTAATTTAGTACGGTCTCCATACGTCGTTCCTCTGTTCGCTTTCTTCTCCGAGCACTCCGATCTCCAATCGATTACTGCTGATAGTGAGATTGCCGCTGGCGATGGTGACCTGCTCCTCGCTGAGGTCGCCGTGCAGATGAAGGTGTATTTGGTTTTGATTGACGGTGCTGTAAACGTGAGGGTAAAGTACCATGGGTGTGGGACTTATATAATTTTGCGTGGGATTGTTGTAGTATCCTTGATAGTTGGGGTTGTAATTGTGAGAAGGTACTGGTACAGGCGTCGCGGGGCCCGGCGTCCACGAGCCGTAGTGATAACCCGGACTAGCGTTACCACCGGCACTACCAAATATTTCGGGATCGGGTTTAGCAGGCACCAGGGGTAGCGTCGAGGATGGTCCGTGCGACTGATACATGGACACGCAATTAGGCGTATACGCGTCCTGCTGTCCTTCCGACGAGAGCACTGAAACGCAGGATAATTATCAATTGATTATTTAACGACACAAGCCATCGCTCATTGGGTATCTAATTTTTACACTCACCGGATGGTAATGGTACAGGCTCCGTGGTTGGATGATGGGAGAGAGATTCGCCTGGATAAGAGAATGCGCCGACCGGAATCGGTGAGTAAGATCCGCTACCACCACCGGGAGGTCCACTTCCACCGCCACTTCCACCTCCAGCCGAACCGCCACCTCCAGTGGCAGCTCCGGGATAGGACGGCACTGCTGTGGGATACGTCCATTCTGCCTCGCCCGAGCTTGTGTCTGAAATAACATGGTGAATGTACATTTTTACAGAGATATATCGATTGCAAGGGAAGAATTTATTAATAAATTATATCAATTAAAAATTCCATGTGCCATTCCCCGTTGTCACTTGCAATATCTCTGTTACGTTTAACGTTATAATCTCTATGGTAACTGTTATGATTGTTGTGATTGCACGGTTCGTTATATACTTGCAAATTATAGATATATATTTTATAATTATTGACTTATTTAAATAGCTCATAAGTTTCATGATGGGAATACGGTCTGTTACGGATGTACAGTCAAGTGAGCGTGAGTCGGTAACCTAATGAGATTCTGAGTCGTGAGTAATACCGACGGATCAATTAGACCCAACTCCGTGACTCACGACCCGGAGAAGATTTCGAATGTTCCCGGTAAAGAAATTTAGCTCTCTCTTAATTACTAGAGTGCCGCGTAGATACGCGGGATACGGTAGTGTGATTTGGAAATACTCGTTACAGCGTTAACAACTGGGAATGCACTTGATGATCTTCGATCACGAATCCACGCAGGAGAGAAAGTGAAAGAACTGAATAAAGAGGAGGAAGAGATAAAGAGAGAGAGAGAGAGAGAGAGAGAGAGAGAGAGAGACAGAGAGCAATGACTCATTATACATGCTGTACCAACGAAATTTACTAAGAAACGATCTGGTATTTACGTCTTGTGTAATACGTGATCGGTGGCCAATGACGATCTGTAAATTATTGCTTGGTGACTTTCCCACTATCGTCAGCCGATCGGTAAGTAAGCAACGACCGGTGCGTATAGGTACCCGTTATGCATTTGCGCACAATTCACTGAGCGTGCGTAATACATAATCTAGGTTTATAACAGTTTTTACATATATGGCATGCCGTATGAGTGATCGTACATATTGCGTATGTAAAACTATTGTGTAATTCCAGTCACGTTTCCAGACGCTTACACTTTCCTCTTTGATTCGAGCCGATGAGTCTCGCAGCTGTAAGTGGAATTGAAATAGGTGATTTATATAGTATCGATATACGAAAGGTGAAGATTTTTCAAAATCTGTATGTAAATTTGTGTCGTATAAAAATTGCCAATATACCCAGATCGAATAAATAATTAAAATAATGTTTTTGGCTTAGGTGCAATTACGCAGGCAGTTATGAATTTACGTGACAGTTCGTGGAATTGTTCAACTATAACGGTAGACAAAACGCAATTCGCATATGTAAATTGTGAGTGAATCCCAAGGAAATCCCAACGATTGCCGATGTCGTCCTTCGATTCCCGAGTCTCTTGTCGACCGGTTGACTAGTCGATTACGCCGCCTGTTCGTATAGCGACCGATGGCAAAATTCTCGTTTCACAAGTCTGCGCGCCCGTGCCGTTGTGCGACTTTGCCTTTGCTGGATTCCTCGAATACCCACTCCCCGTAGTCTTGGACAATGTCGAGGACGCCTTTCGCGTCGGGACGCATCGGGAATCCTTTCGAAACGGTTACCGGCCAAGTATGAGTTAGAACGAACGGATAAAGAATCGCAAAGAAAATCTCATTACAGCCGAGTACAGCTGTGAAGCTGGATAAAAATGTCTTTCATTGACTAAAGATAATGGAAACCGCTCGATATTGAAAAAAGCGTACATTTTCTTGACCGCGAAAAAACTGATTCACTTTAAATTCAATAAGGTCTCGATTCATACAATCCTGACCGGTAATACCACCGCACGACAATCGGAGTGCGCATGCGCGTGCGTATGGCTTTGCGTAAATTTTACGGCAAGTTACGGTCTATGGGTACCCATGACCGCGCGTTAAGTGCCGATTGCGGTCGACTGGCTAAAATTAAACGAGCTACATTGTCGCGGTCTCGATGCCGTTCTCGTGAATTCCATGATCGGTTGGAGTAGGATGAACGCAAGTCAGCTGAGTGCATACGTGGAATCGTATTAGCATTTCAAGCGTGGAAATTTCTCCGAGAGTAAATAAACCAGAAGATAGTTAAAGTTACTCCAAAGTACAAGCACCTATATACGTCGAAGTTTCTTGAATGAAAGCCGGAAATGCGCGGGATCGTTGACTGGTCCTTTCGCAAGGGATCTTGAACGTCCCGATTCGTAGGGGCCTATCCGTATAGAGATCCTGGGAATTTTTACTATAGAGGAAAGAAGGTCGATTCCAGAGCTAAGACGTATATCAAAGGTTGCCGCCGCTTGGCCAGAGGAAGGCGTCCGAGTGATTACCGAAATAGGTCTGTATTGCAGCAATTACCGGAACAATAACAAAACAAAGGCACGCCACTAGGGCTATGTTAGAGGCCATCTGTTGGATAATAATCGAGGCAGAGTGGAAGGATCCTTAAACGAGGCAGTAAGGCCCAAAAGGTCGGCAGGGTTTCGGGGGGCCAGGTCCGCCTAGCCGTCGGCAATGAAACAGAAACAGATACTACAAATTGCATAATAAAAGAATACAATCGAAAAAATGTTCAACGCTAACGTGAATTCGACATTTCACATGTCACTCCCTCGTCGCGTCCTTCATTCTATATAATCGACATATTGACATGGTTAACCATAATGAACAGATCCGGTCGCCATAATTCAAGTTCTTTAGGAGACCCAAACAAGAATAACGCGGAAATGCATAAATGACGGAAAGTCAGAGTCATTCTCATATACATACATATACAGGGTTATTCACGACAAACGCACCAGTTGAAATTGGCCGTGAATGGATAATTTCATGAATCATATCAGGGTGGCATCATCAAAGAAATGAAAGCTAACGTTATAACATTGCCAAGATCACGAATTTGACATTCTTTAATTTGTTAAACAAAGCCACGCTGCTACGATCGACAGAAACGTCCAATCGCGTCCAAGTTCAGCCGGTGCGTTTGCCGTGAATAACCCTGTATATATGAGAATGCGAGAAAACCAGCCAACCGTTTACTACCGCGGGTGTGAAACCACAGTGAGGTTTCGGTGCTTAGTCCCTGGCCAAGGCATCTACTTAACGAGCCATTAGCATTCGCCAGGAGTATTCGAATGATCCCTACAAGCGATTTTTCTCATCAACAGATTCCGGGAGATCCGTCGATAGTTTCCATGTTTCTCGTAAGACTTGTAAGAGAGTTAGGTAGTTAGGTAGGTTGGTCGGGTAGGTTGATACAAGACGTAGCCCTGACGCGATGGGGCTTCGGTTCCCACCGAGATAGATGCTCGGTGGGTCGTGTAACGTAAGTTGATATTGCGCCTCGATATATCAATATACAAAGCCGTCCTGCACCAGGAGAGAAGTCTTACGCATACGAGCGCAGGAAACTGTTGCGCCTTCGTGTCTCGTCTCGTCGCGTCGCCTCGCGTCGCTGCCGCGTATCGCTTACCTCCACCGATTTCTTCTTATAAAGTATCCTGTCGGGGATAATATTTCTCCTGGCGTACGTCCTCGTTAACGAGAACGAAGATTTCGATTCAGCAGGACGAATGGATTGGCAATATATCCGATATGGCCGTGAGTCTAGGTGACTGTGAGAATATGCTTGCAAAAATGAAGATGGACTGGCAAGGATACGTTTTGCGAAAAGATGCGAAATTTCAATGAACAAATAGGCCCGGGACCCGAACGCTGCTTAACCGATGCATATTGGGGCCCCACGGCAATTTCGATGCATCCTGTTTCGTGTCCTCCCTCATTTTTCTCGTCACCCGCCGTCATGCGAAGTCAGACTCGACGGATCTCGTCTTTTTTTTTTCCCTCGTTGTCCATTGAGCCGCGCTCGATTTGTAAAAGGAGGAAATCTGTTTAGCATCCGCACAATGGATCGCGGGTTGCACGCACGTCTTAAAAATTGCATCGCGACAATGGACCTTCCTTCCTTCTCCTCATGGTATTGATAGCGGACGCGTTACACTGAGAGTGCACAAATTTGTCTGTCAAGCTATTTCACGTCCATTCATTATTGCTCTTGCTGTCTTTCTCTCTCACGATCGATTTTTTCTTCTCGAATCCCTACTCGCTCCTTTAGTCGTCCTTTCGACGGAGAATGAAGTTACGAGAAGGCATGAATGGAGAGGAGGACGTGTGGCGGGCCAGTGGCGTGTCCGGAAACCGGCAGAGCGGGGATCACTGTGCCGTAGTAATTGCTGTTACTACTACTACAGCTACTACCTGCTACTATACTACTATGCCTATGTAGAAATTATAGACGGTCTCGGCTACTACTAGTATAGTATATATGGCCCCCATGAAGAAATAGACTCGCAGTGGTCATCAGACACGCGTCATCTTACGTCACAGGCTCAATCTCGTAATTGGCTAAGACGAAAATTAAATTTGTTAGATTTTCGCAGAACCCAGGCTGCTCATCCGGTCCGTAATGGCGGCGCATCGCACTTCTGTGAACTCAGGACCGGAATTATCCCGTGGCAGAATCCAAGGTAGAAGGGATCGAGGGGGTCGACTCCTCTGGTTATTTAAGTCCATTCGGTCGGTACCTGGACACAGCTGATCTTTTGCCAGAAGATGCATCCTCGCAGGATACGTATGAAATACGTACATTAAAAGAAAAGACCGCCTGCAGTCACGAGACATGAGACCTCTCATTAGCAAAGGTACCACGGGTCCAGAAATAAACGTTCATCTCCTAGGTGGCCCTAATAGGCGCAACCAGGCGCAACGTCCTGGATTCTCAAAAAAGCATAAAGACGGAAACGCAACATATATAGTAAAAAGGTGTGATAGAGGCGGAGGTGTCGAAAGTACCAGAAACAGAGGCGAAAAAAAGAGAATGAGCGAAGGAAGGTCCATTGCCAAGAGAAGCGGATAAGAGAAGCGGATGATGCCCAAAAAGCAATTAAAAACTTGGGCATTGATTGGTAATCAATTAAGATCAACCTATATAAAGTAACAGTGAAACCTTCGTTCCTACAATAAGGTTGGTATCGGATAGCTAGTAAATAACGTCAGTTACAACATTAGTAACAAGTATATATATATATATAATAGT